AAAATGAATAAACAAAAAAGACAAAAAGGCCACTAAAAAAGAATTGAGGTGGGGGCAGGAGAAAAAAGAAAGGAGTAACGGGAAAGAAGAAGAAAGCATGTAAACATATAAGGAAGTCAAGTGACAAAGGGTGGGACACAAAGAAAATTAAAAGCAAACAAGTAGATAAAGTGGTGTGTGAAAAGGACTTGGTATTTGACTCTTTGAAATGTCATCAGCCCACAGCTGCCACTGCAAGTTTTCAATTTAGTTTTGTTAACTAATAAGTAGTGTACAAACAGCCATTGAAAATGTATATCGCAGACTTGTGGTTTATTAACAATCAGCAATACACACACACACACACACACACACACACACACACACACACACTCTGAGCCGCTCACAATAAAAACAAATGGAAGATAGTTTTTAGTCTGCAGTTAGTCAGTACCTAAACTGCAAACACAAAAATGCATCCCTTATCTGAGCCCATGTAGATGAAATTTTCATGCTAGGCAATTCTACAGGAACCTAAATGTCACAGGCATACCGTGCAGCAAAGACTTCTTTTAGAAATGCGTTCCGGAGAGATGAGTAAGAGAGAGACTGTTACCACTGAAATAAAAAACTTGAGAACAAGGAAAGCGGGTAGAACTGTCACTCAGGCTAGCCTCCTGCACTGGTTAAAATGTATAATCAAGCCACAGATGCTTGCTAGTTATTTTGAAAACATTTTAACCAGTGGCGTTTATGGTCATTTAAAACTGTGCATGAGTGAAATGACCCCATATGCCTCCTTGATTATTATTCTATTATTTCTGAAAACCACTGTAACATGAATAGTAAAAACCCAGTGATAGATACTGGGGTTCAAGCTGAAAGATCAGAGAAGCAAAGCAGCTAGCCACTAGCTCTTACCTCTACCTCAGGGTGAAAGTGCTGTCCTGTCCTCAGCGTGGCTGGAGAATAAATCTTACATGAGACCCCTTGTGTTTTTTTTTTCTTTTATACCTCTCAGATCCTGGGATTAAAGTTGTGGGATCCCAAGTGCTGAGGTCTGCTTTGTGTGAGCTGTTTCTCTTTTAGACTGAATCCATTCATATAGCTCAGTGTGGCCTTGAACTAACAGAGATCTGTCTACCTCTGTCCCCTGAATCCTGGGGTTAAAGGTGTGTACCACCACTGCCTAGTTTCTATAGCTAACTAGTATGGGTGGCTTTGCATTCTGATACTTCTGGCAACCTTTATTAAATCATAAATAATATATCGCCACAAACCACAAAGCAATTTTTAAAAGGAGCAGATCCTCCTGCCCACCAGGGGTTATTCTAAGACCCCAGAGGATTTATGAAAGCACCAAGCTCTATAAATGCTATACTTTCCTGTGTGTACACACCTATAGTAAAGCAATAACAACAGTAGTGGTTAATAATGAAATGATAATTAAAGCAGTATGATAT